ATGCTTTCCCACAGAGCAGGGAGCCTGCACTTATGACCAGGCTGCTTCCTCCTGCCAGTCTAGCAGTGTTCTGCAAGCCAGGGATTATCAGAGCCACTGTTTTCAGTGCCCCTCCCTTTAGCAGAGACTGCAGCCTGGACCTGTAAGTTTTAGGCTCACCTCACCCTAGGGCCTGGCATCCTGGTTTCCTACATCATTTGCACAAAATGGACAAAAGGGGAGGGATCTTGTTAACAAACTCTAGCACCAATCCTGGCTCAGTAGCTGGGGACTTGGCAGGAAATCAGTCTGGTAATGTCTGGGAAGATTGGAGAATACAGGCTTGAAAACAGGAGGGACCAGAGGACACCGTACCCTCAAATCCACTGCCACCAGTCATCCCTAACTGTTCTTGTAACTGCACAAAAGCTTAGGTCTGGGGCCGGTGAGATGGCTCAGAGGACAAAAGGGATGCTGTGAAAGCCTGATGACCTGCGTTGGACCCCCCAGATTCCAAGGAAGGAGATAACTGATTGCTGAAAGTTGTCCTGTGACCCCACATGTGCCATAGCACACCCCCCCCTTAATAATAAATTAAAACTAGAAAAGCTTAGGTTTCCCTAGCTAGTTAAGCCTCCAACTTCAGTTGTGGAACTAGGTTGGGGGTACTATCCCATTTCAACACTCACGGGGATCAGGGCACACACCTATAATCCCATCACTTGGGAGGTCTAGGCCAGCCTGGGTTACATTTCAAGATCCTATCTCCAAAAAGTGTGTGTGTGGGTGGGTGATTGGGCATATAGTTCAGTTGATGGAATGCTTGTCTAGCATGCACAAGTCCCTGGGTTTGATCCCCAGTACCCCATAAACTACATATGGTGGTATATGCCTATAATTCCAGCACTTGGGAGGTAAAGGCAGGATGATCCAAAGTTCAAGGTCATTCTTGGCTACATAGCACATTCAAGGACAGCCAGAGATACATGAGACTATCTCAGAAAATAAAAAGACTCAAATACAGGGAATTCCCTCAAAGTAAAAAATGGGTTCAGATCTTTTGCTGCACTGAAAAATGCCCAATATACTGAGAAATTTGGGGACATTCATTCCAAGACTTAGAAACAAATTTCTTCCTCTTCCAAATATTCTATCAGTGTTAGTTGTGGTGGCGCACACCTTTAATCCCAGCACTGGAGAGGAGAGGCAGAGGCAGGTGGATTTCTGTGAGATCAAGGTCAGCCTGATCTACACAGTGAGTTCCAGGTCAGGGAGACTTTGTCTCAAAAAAAAAAAAAAAAAAAAAAAAGAGGAGGAAAGTAAGCACGTAATAGAATTTCCTCTGGTCACAGTTAGGGGGAAGGGATGTAGCTCAGTGGTAGAACACTTCCCTAGTATACATAAGGTCCTGGATTCCAACTAGCACCTGTCAACCACCCTTCACCTCCCCCCCAAACCCTGAATCTAGAGCCTATAATCACAGCACTTGGGAGGCTCAAGTGGGAAGTTTGGCTTGGGACCAAGAGTTACAGGCAAACCTGGGCAATATAGTGAGACCCTCCACCTTAAAACACAAACAAAACTGAGTTATCAGGCTGTCCCTCAGAGGCCAGCTGTGGCTCAACCAAGTTAGAAGAGGGCAGCTGAAGGTGGGAGCAAAAGATGAGGAACAGGGCACCCCAAAAGGTTCATGTGAGGGCACAAGGCCCAGAGGGGCAGCTGTAGATGTACTGTATGCCGGAAAGGCTGACCTTGGGGTGGTCCAGAATGGTCTAGAACAGGACAATGTCCCCTCCATTTGTGCATCAGCTGTGTATACATAGAACCAGGTTTGCACATGAACTTAAAACCCACTTTAGTATTGCAAATGCAAACAGCAGGGACAAGAATATTTTTCGGAAAGTTCAGGATATATTTGGAAGCTGGGCACATTAAAAAGCATGTTTATGCGTGTTTAAAGCCAATTGACCCCGAAGTGAGAAATCTCTGTTTCGGGACTTTTCTGGTGTGTATTGTCACTAAGTGCAACTGGTTGGGAATTTTAAATGGTCGTATTCATACTAAAGGTTTTAGTTATAACAGTCGTGCTATTGAGCACAGAACAATGCTCACATTGTGTCTTTTTTATAAAAAAACATATGGGGCATCTACTGAAGCCATTGTGGGTTCTAACATTTTGCTTTGCAGTGCAGCTTTGAAGACTGTGGGCGGAGCCTGGGTTCCGAGGTCCCTAGCAGAGTCAGCTCCCTGGGAGGCACATTCTGTATGGAGCTACTAATTGCCCTGCATAATCCCAGTAGCATTCTTCCATTATAATATTCTTAGAAATACATCTAACGTTGCCTATTAAGCCAATGGAAACCGTGCATTTCCAAGCTCTTCCTGCCTGGCTGTGGGAAGCATGGAGGTGGAGAGGCGGCAGTCATCTTCTAGTTAAGCTAAACTATGGTTCTGGGCAAAAGTCCCAAAAGTGGGGGCCACATTTCCTAAGCGGGTCCTGTCGACTCCTCCGTGTCTCAATTTTCTCTCGTCCAGTGATTCCTTTGGAGATTCTGTACGACAACCCCTGAGTCTGAGGGTACCTGAAACCTGGTGAACTGCCCCTGCGAGGCACCGCCAGCAGAGGGCACTGCTCGCTTTACGGTGAACACTTCCACCCCACTGAGGCCAAGCTCAGACTGGCGAGCTTGGCACACGCTCCGGGTAGCCACAGCGACTTGGCCTTCTGCAGAGCCATGGCCTTTTTGGGCCTGAAAGCTGCAACTGAGCCTTCTGCGACTGTGGGAAAGTAATACTGGCTAGCTAGGCAGGAAAAGGCTGGGGCTTTCCATGGCCACCCGGGCCTACGTTGGAAAGTTGTTGACTAATAAGTGCAGGGAAAGAAGCCGGGGGTGCGGATCCCGAGCATCGGTCCTACAAAGGGCCTCGCATGGTTTTCCGGGAGGAAAAGGGGGTTCCAGGGCGCCTTATTAGGGTGTCTGCCCGCCTCTGCGGCCGCCAGCGAGAGTACCTCGGTGTTTTACCCCGCCCTCGGCTGCCGGAGGCGGGGCCCTGGAGCTTGCTGGAGGTTGAGCTTGGATGAGGCTGTTGCTAGGCAACAGGCAGTGTTGCTACGGCCGCTGCCTCCGCCTAGCCTCATCCCGCCCCCGCTGCTCCTCCTAATAAGAATTTAATTGGTGTACTTTTACCTTCAGACTTTTCATTGGGAACGGAACGGGGAGGCTGTGTTCCGCGGGGCCCCAAATCGGTGCGTAGTCTGCATTGAACAACCTGCTTGGTACAAAGCGTACCTCGGCGACAGCTGTTGGAAACGGCCTCCCTGGAACCCCTGCGGTGCTAATCAATCAGGTGTCAATCAGAAGCACCAGGGGAAAGTTAGGGCAAATGCAGTCGCGGGCTGCAGAGAAGAGGTGAAAGGTGGGGTCGAGGAGGAGAGAGGGGACTTGTTACAAAGACAAAGAAATCCTCTCAAGACCCCGTAGTCCTGTTGCCACAGCCAGGCCAGCCGTGAGGGGGTCGGATTGGGCAGCTATCTGTCTTGATAGTTAAACCAGCCAGCATTTCCCACCGGCAGGAACTTCTTCCTACGCGGTAGAAGTGGTTAAGATCTAAGATTCTCTCTCTGTCTCTCTCTCTGTCTCTCTCTCTCTGTCTCTCTGTCTCTCTCTCTCCCTCCCTCCCTCCCTCCCTCCCGCTTTCTCTTTCTTCCTCCCCTCTTCCTCTTGCCATTAGGCAAGCTATCAGAACACCCCACCTCTGGTTCAAGTCCAGAGGTATGACCAGTCTGGAACTTTGCCCTCAAGACAAAGGCTCTCTAAAGAGAATCTATTTATGAAGCCATTTCAAAAAGTTACATAATTTCTTCCAGGAAAAAGCCTAAATAGAGGAGAGTGTAAGTGTCCCGGGTGAACGGCTTTATACAGGTTGCTGGATGCTTTCAGCTCACCTGGGGGAATGGTGGCAGTTTAGGACTCAAAGATGGGGTAAGGCTGGTAGAGGACTACGGATTAAGAAAGACATTGCTCCTGGGCATGGCACACACTTTTAAGCCCAGCAGAGGTAAATCTCTGTGAGTTCAGGGCCAGTCTGGTCTACATACTGAGTTTCAAGCCAGCTAGGGCTACATGCTGAAACCCTGTCTCAAAATTATATATATATATATATATATATATATATGGTTGGGACAGTGGGTAAAGGTGTCTGCTGCCAAGCCTGACAAGTTGGATCCCTGGGGACCCACATAGAAGAAGGAAAGAAGCCACTCCAGACAGTTGTCCTCTAGCTTCCACATCTGCTCTATAACAGCACATTCATGCCCCCCCTTAACATACACATTTGCACACAAAATAAAAATGCAATAAAATGCAAAAATTGTTGTTGAATCTTATATTATTGTTATTATTATTATCCCAGTTTCATGTAGCCCAGACTGTCTTTGAACTTGGTATGTAGCTGAGGGTGATCTTGAATCCTTGATCCTCCTGCCTCCACCTCCTGGGATGGCAGGTATGTTCCACCACACCCAGCTTCTGTTGATTCTATTTTAAAGAGATACCACATAAAGAACATGGGATACTTTCTTGTTCTTAAGAGAATGCAGTACTTATGTATGCAAACTCAAATATTGCCCAAGAATGGTGGTCATGTAACACAAGTGCATAGATTGGTCTATGTGGTTTGGGGGTGCAAACCAGCTGTGGAACCCAACTCAGACCCCACCCCCCTCTGCCAGTACTACTTCAGGTTGCACTGAAGTTCAAGAAGAGCTGCTTGCCCACCCATAGAGCCCCTCCTCTGCCAATCTTCTGTCCCACAGAGGAAGGAGATGGCGGTCAGAGAATTAGGTGACTTGCTGGAGGCCACTGCTTTAGTTTCTGTTCCTGTTGATATGCTAAAATACTCCAACAAAGGGAAGATACAGGAGAAAGGGTTATTGTGGTTCACAGTTCTAGGAGACACAGTTCACCATGGCAGGAATGTCTAGGCCACAAGAGATTGAAACAGCTGTCATATCACAGTCACAATCAGGAAACGGAGAAGGTGAAGGATACAGTGCTGCTGCTCAGCCCCCTCTCTCCATTTTACACAGTCTCAGGATTCACGTCTTCCCACCTCAATTAATAGAATCAAGACAGTCCCCCACAGGCAAGCCCAGAGGCCCATCTTCCAGGCGATTCTAGATTCTGTCAAGTTGACAACTCTAACCATCATAGTCATTGAAAGAGTAGAGGGCTGAGATGAGTCAGGATTGTGTAATGGAAAAGGGTCCCAGTGTGCCACTCTGCCACTTCCCAGAGTGAGGCCTAGACAAGTTTCTTACAACTTTGCAGGTCTCACTTTTCTGACTTAAATTCTAGACCCTTAATGGTCTTAAGTGCTAGCTGAGCAAGTGTGAGGACCAGAGTTTGGATTCCCAGAACTCATGTAAATGCCAGCCTTGGAAGGGGGAGACAGGGAATTCCCAGAGGAAGCTGGCTATGGAAGGAAGCCATTTCTGTGAGTTCTAGGTTTGACTGAAAGATAATGTCTCTTTGAATAAGGTGGGAGAACGATGGAAGATGATTTTCAACATCAACCTTGGGCTTTGCAGGTGTACATGCACCCACAAGTATCACATCCACAAACAGGTGTCCCCATACATGCAAACATGCACATGCATACATATGCACACCATACACACTCAAATGGAAAATGAAAATAATCCAGATACTAACAATATTTATCTTGTATGGTTTTTTAAAATAAGTGTAAAGTGTTGAAACTGTGCCTGGCACTTAACAAACACCATTTATAGATGTCCTGTGTCCTGGACCTTTATTAGACAAGTGAGGCTTGCTCAAGAATAAATCCCACCTCCATTAAAGGCATTGTAAAATGTTATTAACAAGTTTGCTGTGAATATGGCTCATACACATCTAAGTCAACAACTAACTTCTATTAAAAGGAGTTATTCTCCATGTGACAACTTTTACCACCTAAATTGCCTTAGCAGTTCATTTTTCTGCTACATTTATTTATTATGTGTGTCTGTGCCTGTGCACTTACCATGACATAATGTGGAAACCAAAGAACAACTTGAGAAAGTCAGGGTTCTCTCCTTCCACCATATGGGTCCCCAAGAATCAAATTCAGGCTGTCAGACCTGGTGGCAAGTGCCTTTAACATCTGAGCCACCTGGCTAGGCCCTGTTCACTTAAATTAGGAATATCCTACCCCAGGCAATTTATGCATGGGTTAGGCAATTTATGTTTTGTGTATGCATGTGTCATATGTTTGCAGGTGCAAGTGTGTGTGTGTGTGTGTGTGCACATGAATGTGTACTGTCATGTACATGGCAACCAGAGGACAACCTCAGGGGTCTCTCCTCAGCTGCTGTCCACTTTACTTTTGTTTTGTTTTTTGTTTGTTTTTGAGACAGGGTCTCTCACTAGCTTGGAACTCACCAAGTCTGGCCAGTGTGCTCCAGAGATTCACCTTTGTTTTCCCAGTACTGGAATTACAAGGGCATGCCATCACACCTGGCAATTTTGTCTTGGGGTTTTTATTTATTTATTTATTTGTTTGTTTGTTTGTTTGTTTTGAGACAAGGTTTCCCTGTAGCCCCAGCTGGCTTAGAACTTGATATGTAGACCAAGCTGGCCTTCTGGCCTTGAACTTACAAAGATCTGCCTGCCTCTGCCTCCCGAGTGCTGGGATTAAAACATGTTGCGCTATGCTCAGTTTTTTTATTTTATGGCAATTTATTTATTTTTATTTTATGAGTGTTTTGCATGCATGTATATAAGTGCACCACATGTACGCAGTGCCCATGGTCGCCAGAAGAGGGTATCAGATCCCCTGGAACTGGACTTATGGACAGTTGTTAGGTGCCATGTGGGTGCTGGCAACTGAACCCAGGTCCTCTGCAAGAGCATCCAGTGCTCTTAACAGCTGAACCAGTAGTCCAGCCCCATTCCTGGCATTTTAAATGTAGGTTCTAGAGATCTAATTCAGGTTCTTCTGCTTTCATGAAGCAAGCACTCCAACAACTGAGCTCTGTCTAAAGCCTCCCCCCACCCCAATTTACCGTTTCCTTTTAAAAATTAAATATGTAGTTCTTGAAAGCTTTCCACATGCATCCCCAGCTGACACTTCCACAGTTCCAGAATGTTGTGGTCTTCAAAGAAATAATAGTTCCTAACACCTGATCTTTAGGTTGATTAATTCTAAACCCTTGACAAATTATTTATTTCACCTGGAGGTTTGCAGGATCCTCCTAAGGAGGTGGAAGATTCCTCCAGCTGCTCAGGTAGCTCGCCTCTAAGGTAAGTGTGCAATAAGCATTAGTTACTATCACTGCTCTGTTAGCTCAGACCTTTGTCTTTTTAAGGCAAGACACATCTGTGTCTGTGACCTTTGTCACCCTGTCTCAAGCAGGCCTTTTCTTTACCACAGAAAATCTCTAATATTTCATTCTGTCTTCTAGATCTTGAACTATGTAAATTGCTGTGATTATTGCCTCCCACAATTTTTCTGCAGAAGCAGATTTAATTTGCATTTTAAAATAATTTATGCAGAGTAGAGTTCCTAGCAAGGAAAGCCAAAAGGATCAGGACCTACATTCAGCTACAGTTTATGTCTATAATATCTGTGTGTAATGAATCCCTTTACTTCACAGAGAAATCCAAACTCTTTGAATATAGAATGTGATGCTTGAAAGAGGCAGGGGAAGAATAAGGAAAAAGGGGCAGAAACTACATAGGTAAAAAGAAAAATGGGTACATGATGCAGCTTAGTGGTAGAGTGCTTGCTCAGTATGGGAGAGGCCCTAGGTTTAATCTCCAGCAAAGGAAGAAAGGGAAGGAGGGAGGGAGGGAGGAAGGAAGGAAGGAAGGAAGGAAGGAAGGAAGGAAGGAAGGAAGGAAAGGGCAGAGAAGTGGAGGAGGGAGAAAGGAAGGAAAGTAGCAAAGAGGTCCAGTGGGTAAAAGCACTTGCCATGCAAACTTGACAACTTGAGTTCAATACTGGATCCTACCATAGAAGGAGAGAACCCACTTCTGAAAGTTGTTCTCTGACCTTAACATGCACTGTGGCAGGTGAGCACACACACACACACACACACACACACACACACACAATAGACCAGTGTGGTGCTACATGCCTTTAATTCCAGCACTTAAGAAGCAAAGAACTCTGTGAGTTCAAGGCCAGTCTGGTCTACATAGTGAGTTCTAGGCCAGCTCAAGATAGTGAAACCCTGCTTCAAAATACCAAAAATTAATTAATTAAAAATTTAGGGATTGGGTATTTAGCTCAGTGGTAGAACGCTTGCCTAGCAAGCTCAAGGCCCTGGGTTTGGTCCTCAGCTCCGCAAAAAAAATTTTTTTTTAACATTTTACTTTTACTTTATGCACATGAGTGTTTGGGCTGCATGTAAGTATGTGGACTGTTTATATGCCTGGTACCCATGGAGGCCATAAAACGGGGTCAGATTCTCTGGAACTAGAGTTACCAAAGGTTGTTGGTCACCACACAGGTGCTGGGAACTGAGCCGGGTCCTCTGCAAAAGCAGCCAGTGCTTAACCACTGAGTCATCTCTCCAGTCCCAATAATAATAATTTTTATTATTAGGAAGGACAAATGTATCTACAAGAAATACATCTCAAACAGCAAGAATAAAATGAGAAACTGTTTATTTCAGTGTTTCAATCACGATATTTCAGGGACGACTGTCAGACTGTCTTTAATAATTTCAAAGGTCTCACTGACATATTAGAGAGAGAAGCCACATTCCCCTCTGTCACAGAACCATTTGATACGACCGATGACATGCAAACATAATTTGCAAAAACAGAGTATTATCACAATATGATATAAAAAGTTGATTTGAGCAAATAGATTTCACATCTATAAAACAGGAAACAAAAAGTGCCATCATAATCACATTGAGCCAAACCTGAGAAGTCCTGGCCACAACCACAAGCCTCCATTCACAGACAGGAGCAAAGGTCCTCATCCAAGATTACCACTGGGCGAAGATTCTGCAATTTCTATTTTAGAATCAACGGCTTTCAAGTAGATTTTAGAAAATGGATATCACACGCTTGTTTGTTCAGAACTTTCATATAAAAGAATAATAATCATGTCAATTACTATTTAATCAGTTTTCTTCTGGTATTTTTTTCTTTGAATATTGACTCATTGCACTGAAAGCCACAGATTCAGAATTCACAATTAAATCACAATGTAAAAATAATTAAATTTTCATGCCAAATCAAAATAGCTACCAGTTAATGCCAAACACATTTACATTTCATCACAGTTTAAGAGTATTTACCAAAATGTCTCTTTTCTCTTGGTTAAATCATTTGTATTCCCAAGATGCACTTGTTTCTCTTAATATTTAGCATTCACAGTACAAGTAAAAGTAGTTACATTCATTAAGGTCATGATGATTATTCTGTGTTCAAGACTCCAGAATCTGGATTGCCTAAAATGAGGTAGATAAACTTAAATGAGTTTTGTTGGCTAGGATTAATTTTCTTTAGATCTCAATAATCTGTTTTTTAATCCTAGATTTCCAAAATATTTAGCAAAAGACTGAAAATGTCTGAGCCTAAAAATGGAAAAAATAGAATTTCAAAAGGTTATTATGAAAGTTGCTTTACCTCATTTCAATTTAAAACAGAATAAAAGCATCAAGTTACAAAACTACTACTCATCTTGACATCATCTTTGAACGTTTAGAAAGCCTTGCACGGGTTCTGACTCGGGAGTGTACAGACGTAGGAATCTATCTGGTCAACTCAGCCAGGGGCCAGGCCAGCTGCTGCCCCTAAACGTTGACCCTGAACTTCAAGTCTCCTCCCCAGTTCATGCCTGGCTGCCTGGTTTCCATCCCTGCAGACACATCCAATTTCAGGCAGAAGGTTGGAGGCCCTCTGGGTAAAACAGGCTGCAGTGGATAAAGTTGAAAGCCAGACAGGCCGCAGATGTTGGGCAGGCTTAGACTGAGCCAGAGGCCTGGGTAGGTCAATCGAGACACTGATGGCCACCCCCACCCCCAAGGGCCTTCAGGTTGCTGGGGGCAGACTAGGCACTAAGCCAGCTAGAGGCCCGGGGGTGGGTCGACGAGAGATTTCGGAGAAAGACGGCAGGGCACCGCGGCTCTTCGTCTTCTTCCGCGGAGCCATGGGTGAAGCGCCCAGGAACTTGCTGAAGGAGCTTGACTTCTTCAAGCCTCGGGCCAGGTCCTGGAGCATCAGGTCGTCGGCCAGGACGCCCAGAAACGCGCTGGTGGTGGAGCTGAGGATGGTGGCGGCCACCTGTACGGGATGCCGAGATGCCAGGCTCCCGCCTCCACCACCGGTTGCATCCGGCTCGGTGGACTCTCGAAGGCCCGGGTCACCGAGCAGCCGGCGAAGCGCGTAAGAGGAGCCGGGCGGGAGGTACTGGTAGGCGCGCCGGCCGCTGTAGTCGCGCACATGTACCTGGGCTCCCAGGCGCACCACAAGCAGCACTGCCGCGTCCTCGTGGCCGTGCAGAGCCGCCAGGTGCAGCGGCGTGTAGCCGCCGTGGGAGCGCGCGTTCACGTCCACGGGCGCGCCGCCGCGCCGCGCCACCTCCACCAGCTGCAGAGCCATCTCGCGGTCGCCGCTCTTGGCAGCCCAGTGCAGGGCGGTGAAGCCGGACATGAAATCGCGCTTGGCGGCCAGGCCGCGATCCCGCAGCAGCAGCCCGTGCAGCTGGCGAGTCCAGCGGCCGCCGGCCGTGCGCACCAGCCACTCGTGCTCCGTGGGCTCCAGCGGCACGGCGGACGGCGGCGGCGCGGCGGGCAGCTCCTCGGTGTCCGGGCTCAGCAGGCGCGGCCCAGCGCGGGACAGGCGCCTCAGGTGCGGAGAGCGGCCGGGACCCAGGCTGAGGCCCAGGCCGGACTCCTCGATGGACAGCCGGCGCAGGAGCATCGGGGAGCACCGCGGGCTCGGTTCCTCCGATAGCTGCCGGCGCAGCCCTTGCTCCTCCGCCCGCACCCGGAGCGCGGCGGGGCCGGGGACGCAGCGCACCGGCAGCATGCAGGGCTTCTGCGGTGGCGCGCGCGGCACGGGTGGCGGTGGTCCCCTCGGTGGCCCAGGCGCAGGCTCCGGATTCAGGGACTCTGTGCTCGGCGACGCCGCCCCCGACGGCGGTGCACTGGCCGGTGGGGCCACCTTCGAGAGTCCCTCCGAGGGCTGGGCTAGCTCCGAGGCTGGAACCTGAGGATCCGGGGGTCCCCCGGGCTGCTGGACTGAGCCTGAGAGCTCCCCAAATTGGAGTGTGGCGGAGGGTGGCGCCCCCGGGATGTCCCGTGGGTCCGCTGGCACGGCCGCGTCCTCCGGTGGCTCCACGGAAGGTGGCTCCACGGACGGCTGCGCCGAAGCCAGAGATGGAGGTGGAGCTCCAGGGGCAGAGCTGTCTCCGGCGGGGACCCCGGTGCTCCTAGCCGGTGGGGTTGGTACCCCAGGGATGGAGGGGAGCAGAGCTTCGGGCCGAGGCTTCTTTCTCAGGACCACGAACTTGACCCCGTCGAGCTCCTTCACCACCGCCACGTCGTTGACAAACTGCTTGAAGCGGTCCCTGCGGGCAGAGCGGCCGCGCGGGTCCCCGGCGTCCAGCAGCGGCTTGAAGCGGCTCAGCAACTCGGAGTTGCGCACCTTCCCGCCGTGCTCCTGCAGGAAGCCCAGCACCGCCGCCTGGCTCACCCCAGCGGCGGCCGCAGCCGCTGCCGCAGCAGCAGCCAGCGCCATACTGGGTCCCCCGGGTCCTCGGCTCCGGGATGCGAGCGATCCACTCGGGGGAGGGGGGAGCGTTCCGGGAGTGATGTCCGCTCACCTGGGGCTCTGAACCCCGGAGCTGGACCTCGGTCACGCCCGCCGTGCCGCGTTGGGGCGTCTCCGGACGAAGGGCATCCCGGGCCCTCCGCCTGCGCCCCGCCGGGCCTCCAGTCTCCCGGGTAGGTCACTACCGAGAGAAGCTATCCAATGGGCGCCGGGCTCCATGCCCGCGCGCGGTGCTCGGCTTACAGGTGACAGCTGCCACTGGCGATGCGCAAGGAATGGGGAGCGGAAACTCTCTGCGGTCCCCCCACCCCAACCCCGGAATTAAAGGCGCAGCACGGAGCTTCAGTTCGTCTCTTGGTTGCTAGGTGGGTGTGTTCCTCAGGGACGTGGTGGTGGATGGGCGAGGCGTGGGTATTTTATTCTTTTTAGCAGTCTTTACCACAAAATAAAAGCTATATATATGGAAGGGCATCCATCAATAGGTCTCCAATTTCCGATTGCATTTCTTACAGGAAAATGGTTTCACAAAATTCACAGAAAAAATAATTCGCTGTGTATGGTGTTGACACACTTACAAGAGATGTTTAGAAAGCAGTTTTCTCATAACAGAATAAGTATTTTAAACACGGAGGTTTGCAATTCGCGTTTTTATTCATTGTGTGTGTTTGCTGTACATAAGGGCATGTGGCAGTCATAGGCTAACTTGCAGGAGTCTGGTACTCTCTTTACTACCACATGGGTCCTGGTGAACTTGGTCAGACTTCGCCACAGACGCCAAGTAAGCCAACTCGCCACCCTGCCCTCCACTTTTTAAAAAATATTAGGTGTCTCCAAATGTAGTTCAAGCTGACCTTGAACTTATGATACTCCTGCCTCAGCGTCCTGAGTGCTAGGGTTACAGGCATGCACTACCACACGTGCCAAAATAATCTATTTTTACATAAGATTTTTGTGAATAAACCCACAGGGAAACATAAAGAAGGAAAAAAATGTCACATGAAATATTTTCTCCCTGCCATGCATGTGTAGGTACAGTTACACCTTAAAATGAGAATGCAAAATTGAAAGTGCTTTTCACTGGAAAGTGTGGAACCCAGGGCCTCCCAAATGCTAGGCGAGCGGTCTACCACAGAGTCACACCTACAGCCCATTTTATGTTTTTAAAACTTCATTTATTTCACAAATATTTATTGAGCACATAGTTTGTGCTGGGAGCTTTTCAGGGTGAGATACATTTTAGCAGAGAGATAAAAACTCTGACCTAGCAGAGTTTATCAGGAGGAAACAGACATGATATGGTGAGTCGGAAAACTGCATAATATGCTACACAAGTTATAGCACATGCTGTAAATAGTATAGGAAAACAGAAAATGATCAAATGCAAGAGGGACCTGCTGCAAGTTTGAAGGAGGTGGGGTGGGGGGTGTTGTTGTCAGGGCAGGACTCACTGTGAAGGCGATGCTAAAGCCAGGACTTCAAATTACGAAGTTACTCAGATGAGAAAGAGCTTTTTCAGGAGAGGGAGCCAGATGGGCAGCCTGGCTGTTTGTTGTTTGTTGTTGTTTTAACATGTATTTATCTGTGTGGGGTGGTGGGAGTTCACTATGTTGCTGGAGTTGAGATCAGATGACAGACAGCTCACAGGAGTAATTCTCTTCTTCCATCATGTAAGTTCTGGCAATAGTGAACACAGGTCATCATCAGACTTAGTTTGTTGTTTGGTTTTTGTTTGAGACAGGGTCTACCTGTAGCCCCAACTGGCCTGGAACTTGCTGTGTAGACCACACTGGCCTTGAACTCACAGAGATCTGCCTGCCTCTGCCTCCCGCGTGCTGGGATTAAAGGTGTGCACCACCATGCCTGGCTGTGAACAGTATCTTTTAATTAGTCAATTTGAAACACAAAGTTGTATCTCATTCTAATTTACATTTATTTTATTTCAGTAATATGGTAATGTAAGCTACCATCAATTTGGGTTTGTTCCTTTGTAAATAGCTCTTTTCCTACTTACTAATATTTTTCTTGCAGACAGGTAGTTATATGAAATTATATCCTTTAAAAAAGATTTTTAAAAAATTTATGTGTATATGTGTGTGTGTCTGTGTGAGTGTATGCCACCTGTGTGCAGGTGCCCTCTGTGGCCAGAAGAGGGCATTGTAAGACCCACAACATGGGTGCTGGGAACTGAATGTGGCTGCTAACAACTATCAATAACTCCAGTTCCAGGGGATCAAATGCCCTCTCTGCCCTCTGTGGACTTGTGGTACACTTACATATAAGCAAACAAAACACTCATATACATAAAATATAAAATAAAATAAAACATAATAAAAATAAAATAACAATGAACCAGACTCAAGGCTTGCATGACTTGAGTAGGGCCTAGTTCCTTACCCAGTTGTTTTCTGGGAATCTCTCACACAAGAATTTGTTTCCAGTGGGAATATCCTACCTGCCTGCATCCCACCTGGAGTTTACTTCATCAATTGCAATCCTGTCAGCTGCTCCTCAGGAACCACCCTGTGGTCTTATTCAGGTTCCTTAGCAACTCTTTAAAGATAATAACTTCAAAAGCCACCAAAGTGGTGTATATGACTTCTGCAAAAACAAAGGCATACCCTGGTTCCTCTGAGAGCCCACACTCCTGTTCTTGGCTAGCCTTACTTCCAGAACACCTGGCCTTCATTAAAAACAAGAAAGCATGCTGGGTGTGGTGGAGCACGTCTAATCCCAGCATGCAGGAGGCAGAGGCAGGCAGATCTCTGTGAGAATAGGCCAACCTAGTCTACATAATGAGTTCCAGGCCAGCTGGGGCTACAGGGAGACCCTGGAAGACGGAGGAGGAAGATGAAGAAGATAAGGAGGAGGAGAAGGGGAGGGGGGAGGAGGAAGAGGAGGGGGAGGAGGAAAGAAAAAGAAAAAAGGTTTAAAAAAAACTATGCTAAAATATCATTGACAAAGTTCCATTCTGCATCATGCTGGCTCATACTAATTCTTTTCTGTATTGAAGCCAAGGATCTGGTTTTACCTGAAAGGTAAAGGTACTTTACTTCAGACTGCTACAGCAAACAGCCTGGAGCTGTGTCTCTGCCCCTGCTGCTGACAGTTCTGTAATCAGCTATTATTTCCGTCTGAATATGGCTTTTCCTTTCAGCCCACCTCAAGTTCCACCCTAGTAAAACCTTCTGTACCTTCCTCAAGTGTATCATGTTCTGCAATTTTTCTACAATTTATTCTAGGAAACAGCTATTGACTATCTTCAGGTACAAGGCAGTGAGCCAAGTCCTCTGTGAAGATGCAGCCTGCCTTTGAGGAGCTTGTCACTCGGTGGAACAGAGAAAAGCAAGCAAGTAATTATTCTGTTCAGTTCATGAAATGGACCTTCCAGATGCTTACAGAAGGGTGATTCTAGGGGAGGTAAAACGGAATCTGGGAAGTCCTCAAGAGGCAGGCTGTGGGAACTGGACAGATGAAGGCTTAGAAATGGGACTGAAGATGAATTTTGGGCAAGGAGTGTCTAGTGTGTTTGCAGTTTAGGGTGTGGACCAGAGATACCGAAGAAGATAACATGGGAAATGTCCTCCAGCCCTGGGTGGGAGACCTTAAATGTTAGGCTGGACTTTGTCTTGTTTGTAGTAGAATGTCATGGAAAACTTTCTTTCTTTTTTAATTTATTTTTATTTATTGCCTGCATGTAAGTGTACCTGTTTATGGAGGTCAGAAGAGGGCACCAGATCACTGGAACTGGAGTTACTGATGGTTGTTAATTGCCATATGGGTGTTGGAAATGGAACTCAGGTCCTCTACAAGAGTAGCCAGTGCTCTTAGCTGCTGAGCCATTTCACCAGGTTCTCTCTCTCTCTCTCTCTCTCTCTCTCTCTCTCTCTTCTCTCTCCACCCTCTGCTGCCACCCTCTCTCTCCCTGCCATTTTGCACTTTCGTAGCCCCAGCTGGCCTGGAACTTGCTATGTAGACCAGGCTGGCCTCAAACCCACAGAGATCCATCTGCCTTCTTCCTTTTTCCTCTTAAAAAAAAAAAGTTTATTGGGCTGGAGACATAGCTTATTGATTAAGAGTGCATAATGCCCTTGCAGAGGACCTGGGTTCAGTTCCCAGCACTCACATGGCAGCTAACAACCATCCATAACTCCAGTTCCAGGGGATCTGATGCCCTTTTCTGACCTGTGTGGGCACTGTATGACACAGGTGCACTTACATACATGCAGGTACAGCACTCATACACATAAAAAGTAAATGAGGGACTGGAGAGATGGCTCAGCGGTTAAGAGCATTGACTGCTCTTGGAGCGCCCACATGGTGGCTTCGAACCGTCCTTAACTCCAGTTCCAGGGGAATCCGAAGCCTTCTTCTGACCTCCGCGACATTGCACGACATGCGCACACTCACATACATGCACGCAATACACTCATACACATAAAATAAAAATAAATAAAATATTTTTTTTAAGTAAATGATGGGCTGGAGAGATGGCTCAGCGGTTAAGAACACTGGTTGTTCTTGCGGAAGACTCGGGTTCGAATCCCAGCACCCACATGGCAGCTAACAACTGTCCGTAACTCCAGTCCCAGGGGATCTGACAGCCTCTTCTTACTTCCATAGGCATTGCATGACACGGGTGCACTTACCTACATGCAGGCAATACACGCATACACATAAAATAAAAATAAATAAATTTTAAAAATAAATGAATAAATAAAAAAAATTTTAAATCTTTTTAAAAATAAAAATAGTGTATTATTTTGATAATTACATTTATATAGTTTATGTGTATATATGTATATGGTTCTACCTATTTGCTTATTTATGCTTTTTCAGACATATTCTTCCAAAGCCCAGCTTATCCTTGAACTCAGTAGCTGAGGATGGCCTTGGATTCTGATCCACCTGCCTCTACCTCCCAAGTGCCAGGATTACAGACATTTCTACCATGCCAGGCCTCTACTTACGTATTAATCTATTTATTGATTCATTTGCTCACTTCTTCATGTTTTGGTCATTCTAGGGCTCAAACCCAAGCCTTGCACATACTAGACAAGTGCTCACCTGATGAGCCATATCTCCAGCGATTAAGTCTCCTGCAGATGGGAGTGAACCACATATTTTTGATTTAAAAATATTTTATCGCATTTGTTGTTGTGTGTGCGTCTGTGGATGCCCGTGCCCGTGCCTCAGGGCCTGTGTGGAGGGCTGAGGACAACTTCCGGGAGTCAGTTCTCTGCTTCCATGGGGTGGATCCTCAGGCTGGGCAACAAGTTCCTTTACCCTCTGAGCCCTCTCACTGGCCCTGAACATTGCTTCTTCATTGATTGGTGTAACCAATGCAGGAATGTATGACAAATGGGGGGGCAGTGGAGGGGTGACGGCAGGTCTCTGTAAAAGCTGACAAGGGTAGTGGGATGGGAGCCAAAAAGGTTTCAAAGGCAGAACTTGCAGCGTATGTATTGCTTTGTTTTCCTTTTTAAAGTCACAATCCCTTTGTTGAGATTTTTGTTCCCAAAGCTACTTTAAATAATTTTCTTGCTTTTTTTTTTTTTCAGGAAAAATTTCTGAGATCCTTGAAACATCTTTTCCATGATCTCGTAAGTAGTGAAGCCTCAGGCAACTTGAACATTTGTTGGGTCGGGGGACAAAGTTCACTTAGTAGAGTGCTTGCCCAGCATGCACAAGCCCTGGGTTCTGTCCCTCACCACATAAACCGGGAATGGTGGTGGCACACACCTGTAATCCCAGCTATCCTCGGCTGTGTATCTAATTCAAAACCAGCCTAGGCTAATGAGGTCCTGTTTAAAAAGAAAAAAAAAAAAAAAAACCCACAAACAACAATAAAAAACTTGGAGTTTGTTACTG